ATATATTCTCTCTTGGCCATGATTCATCTTGTCTCCAGTTCATCTAATTCTTTCACTGTCCACTCACTCGAAATAACGAGGAAGAGAAATAGGGAAATGCGAACTCCCCCCCCACCCGCGAGATACGACAAATTCGAACCCTCACCGGGATCACTCCCCTCTCTTCTTCCAGGCTCCAGATCTTCCAGTACCTGATGCAAGTCGTGCTGTTCTGCGTCGTGTGGCGCCTCCTGGTGGCGCGCACGAACATCGCGCGCAAGCTGTGGCGCTTCGTCATCTCGCTGAGCCAGAAGTTTGTCGTGCGGTTGCCGAGGGTGACGCGATCGTCGTAGGTGGCGCCACCTGTGCGTCCTCCGAGTGTTCTTCGAGCCGCGCGCTCCATCGCTGCAACGTGATTGGTCGAGGCATCTCGGAACACTTGAAAGCATCTAGAAGTGGGATTCGTCGATTTTGGCGTGTGGCGGCGACCCCTTGGAAGGCCCGAATAGGAACAATAGTTTTGTGTAATCTGACTAGTTAGGAGGTGTTTGTAAAACAAGAGAGCGCTGGTGGGGTACGCACAAGCGACTTTGAAACTCATCGTCTGCGTTATGGGCGAGTCGATTTTTTAAATCGTACAGATTTGAGCTTTATTTCGCGAGTAGGTGATAGCGTGTATTCCTGCAAACAGGAAAAGATAGGTGGAACACTAGCTTAGTAAAGATTATCAGCAGATGTAAGATCAAGGAGATGTAATTAAATACAAGAGAGAAAAAATTCTGAGGTTCATTGTCAGAAACAAAATTAGTCTTGACATTAGTCTTAATGTTAGTTTTAACATTAACTTTGTCTTGTTGACAGAAATATGGTGCAATTACGAGTTTCTCATGCAGGGTGTGTAGAGCTCCGGTCTACGAGAAAAAGTTTGTTAATACTAATATTATAACTAATTTTGTTTCTGACAACGGGCCTCTAACGTTAATGATTACTGCTCCTGATCGTAACGGCCGCTAGAGGGCCTACTCACCAGAGCGTTAACCCCTTACTATATGAAAGTGTGTGGCTGCTGACTGAGCCAGACCGGCCAATGAGTGAGCAGGTCGCAGCGACTTTGATTAGGTCGTCCAATCAGCGAGCAGGCTTTTGCCTGACGTCATTTCTCAAGTTATTCAAGTTGAATTTATAACTGCAATTAGTGCATGCTTCTGCCAAAGCCATTAACTAGATTGTTTTCATTCATCAGGTATTCGCCTGGGGCGAAGTTTTGCCGTATTTACTTCTGTACGCTCGATTGCTCGCCGCTAATCAGATTCCCCGCCATAACAACCGGTCGATCGATAACGAGGCTCGCGAACCGCTGGCGCGGCGCTCGCTTACAGGCGTTAGTGTAGCCGTGCAGAACATAACGACTGTATTATACAGGTTAACGGGCCTCTGGTTTATTATTGCTTTAAGACGTAAGACACTGCTGCCACCTAGTGCACGTTTATCTACACGGTATTTTAACAATCACTATACTTATATAATAATTGTATATAGAGTAGATAATCAATATTGTTATGTCGTTTAGATATCTGTGATTCATTCTTGAATAATGGAATTTATGTCAGTAACGTTCCCTAGCATGGGAAGACGTAGGTCTATGAGACCAATACTTTCAACTTGCAGTCGGGTGTTACTTACTAACACCTGTAAAAGTTTGCCACCTAGATTTATCCCTAGTGGGTAAGAAATGGTGATTGCGTTTGTCAAATGTAATTTTGTACGGCGCTTCGTACAAGGCGCAGTGGCGTATGAGAGTTGTAAGTGCAGCTGTTGGTGTTGCTTAGACGTGGTGTATAGTCAGCAACTTTCATGTGCAAGTTTAGTCATTTAAAGTTAATATATTTATATTGTTTAGTATTTGCCAGTGTAGAAATACATATGCGTAGCAGCAGTGGTTCTTAAACGTTTTTTTTTGGGGGGGGGGCTGCAACCCAAATTATTTGTTCGTATGGTCAGTTTATCGACTGGATACTTTGGTGCATTCAACCATGGTTGGATTATTGATGAAACTTGCTGCCTCGGAACATCCATGGCGTCCCGGTTTTTCAGTCGTAATCAAGGGGTTTAAGAACCGCTGCATAAAAATAAGGCAATCGGGGTATAATAGGCGACGTAAGCGTGTGTGTGTGTGCGTGCGTGCGTGCGTGCGTGCGCGCGCGTGTGTGACACGTGATACGTGGTGAAACGGACAAGAAAATGTGTACAATGAAGAAATTACTTGAGTGTCTAGCGGCATTCGTGGTAAATGCGAACTTTAACTTTTAAGACAAATGACCTTATGGCGCGTATTAGATATGTATCTATATATACACTTGATTGCTTAGATCTTGGAGTAATCATTGCGATGATCATTCAGAATGATTACTCCCAAGCTTAGATCGTGGTAACGATGATCTCTCATGTGTTCTCGCTGGAATTTGCTACGTTAATATACGTGATATTGTGATTTGACCGTAATGTGGTGCATATCGATTAATTGGCATTTAATTATATGTTTTATTTTAATATGTCGGTGTTTATGTTTGCCGCTCGCGCGCGCGTGCGTGCGTGCGTGCGTGCGTGCGTGCGTGCGTGCGTGCGTGCGTCTGTCTGTATTAGTTATGTATCGCGCGGTGGATGCTTGGACGGGCTGACGGCTTGATGGTTCATGTTTCCACTGTATCGCAAAAAAGGATGGGGGAGGAGGGAGGAGGAGGAGAAAGAAGGGGGGTCTGTTGTTAGAGGGTGGGTGCAGAGACCCCTTTGTGGCCTGCAGGTACTCGTAGTGTCTACCCAGAGTGGTCACCGACGGGGTTTCACCAGACGAGTGCATGTTGGACACGATGGAATCGAATTAACCTGAAAACGCGGTTTCCGTGGCGTTACACTGATGTTCTACCCTAGATGCGCCCCCGTCAACCGCAGAATATAAATAATAGAAATATCAACGATATAAGTCTATAATATAATCATGAGTGCATGCCACGGACGATTACGTGAACGAGTTTGCGTTATATATATAATGCATGAGGATCATTTTGCCAGGAGTTTTCCTTTGAAACTAGTGCGTTCCAACTGATACACTGTAAAGAAAGAAAGAATCTGGGTCCGGGAAAGGGTACGGGTTTCTTTTTCATGCTGAGGGAGACCAACATCACTTTTAATCTGTATAAAAAAAGGTTGGTGGCTGGTTTAGTGTGGAGTAGCTCGAACTATAGGCTACATTCGTATCATCAGGAGTAAATATTCACTTGTGATTATTTACTCCTGGTATCATGCAGGCAGCAGAGGGGGCAGACTATGGTGGTCCCTTCCCACTCTGTGTTGATGTGATCATAGATATAGAATAGAAGAATAGTATATAGAATATATCTCTATTCCATATCTATGATGTAATCTCGAGTAGACACCTGCGAGATCTGGCGTGTGTTAAAAATATGTTCTTAGCTTTATTGTCGTCATCCCGTTGCGTGTTTTAGCAGAGTAGTCGCATGGCCGCGTATGGTTGGCCATCGTACTCGGAAATAATTATTTTCACCGCGGTAGAAATAATTCAACCGCGGTTAAATCACATATGTGTAACAAGGCAACCGATTGGGTAAAGTGGCAATAATTTTACCGCGGTTAAATTTGTTCTACCGCGGTAAAAATAATTATTTCTGAGTACGATGGCTAACCGTAGCCGCTTTGCACATGGAACGACGCGTTCGATTAAGTTTTGGCGCTACGTTGGGTCCAAATCGCAGCCGGCCACCAAATCGCGAATCATCAAATCACTGCTTCCATGCTTGCTGGTCACGAGTTGTTACGGACTTACGGTGCTTCTGTCCGATCCACCGGTTGTAGATTTACACGCCAGTGTCGATGTAATTAAGAACAAAGTGTACGCTATTTATATTCTAATTGCTTAATGAAATAAAAGTAAACACAGTTGTCAGATCGAAAAATCGTCTTACGTGTCATATTACAGGGTCCCCACAGCCCTGGAAAGTCTATGTTTTGTCTTTTGTCCCTGAAAGTCCTTAATTTTTCATTTTGTCATTGAAAGTCCTTGGAAATCGGTCCAAGTCCTTATTTTATGTCTAATGTCCTGGAATTTTACATTTTTGACCTAAAATAAAAAGCAAATCTTTAATGCTGGTTATCTGCTGCTCGAGAAAGAAAGAAAAATTGCGAGAGAGAGAGGAGTAAGGTGAGAGTCACGGAGAAGGAGAAGGTGAGCGGGAAGGCGAGAGAAGTAACTACAGAAGGAATATGTGCATCCTTGCCTGTGTGTGTGTGTGTGTGTGTGTGTGTGTGTGTGTGTGTGTGTGTGTGTGTGTGTGTGTGTGTGTGTGTGTGTGTGTGTGCCGTTTGTGTCGTACGTGCGTTTGTCTGCACGTGTGACTGCGCATGCGTGTGCACATCTCCGTCTGCATTCTTCCCTCCCTCCGTCCCTCCCTCATTTCTCACCTCTTTCTTTCCTCCTCCCCGCTTACTCCATTCCCCTCAGTATTTCCCTCCCCCTCTCGCGGATAGTATCGCCCACGGCATCAGTTGCACGGTGAAAAGTTAGCCATCCAAATGGCTGGTTTTCAGCCTCGACTTTTTCACCCCCCCAAAGCACAAAATATGATTATACGGCTATAATACGCGTTTTTACAGTCACATAAACACACATACACACACACTAACGGACGTGCACACGCGAGTTTGGTCGCGCGCACGCGTGCGCGTGTATTATAGGCGTAAACTCACATTTTGTGCCTCGGGGAGTGAAAAAGTTTCGGCTGAAATACGGCCATTTACTTGCAAAAGTTTTTCAATGCTTGACTGGTCGCGGGCGATACCATCCGCGAGAGGGGAGTAAGGAATAAGTGATTACTTTTATTCACTGTTAATGTTACTGCCTGGCATAGCAGATGAAAGGTCAGCATAAAGAACCGGCAACTGCATGTTTATTATTATGTTATTGCATGTAATTCAACTACAAATACATGTACTGAAGACCTTTTCATGGAGAAAAAATCTGATAAATGCAATAGTGTTGCGCAGTTAATAAATTTTCTGAGTGATACAATAGATTGTGTGATACATAGTTATGAGTGATACACGTTTCATCAAAGCTTTACATATTGTTGCAGGACTGTGACATGAATGTACGTGAATGGCAATTCCCGTGAATGGTGTACGTAAATATGAAACAACTATTCTGTACGTCGGTAATCAGCGAACTATAGCGGCTGTTTAATCTGCTGTCAGCACTCGTGTAACAACAATTTTTAGCTCATCTGACATAGTCAGATGCAGCTTGTAGAATCGCATGAGCGGGCGTGCGACCGTCCGTCCGTGCGTCAACAGTTGGGCACAAATCTTAACCGCTCGACGTACGGTCACGATATTCGGGACGTGGGGTGGGGGGTAAATCCGAAAACGAGTTGGGATGTCGAAGCTGGGGGTCAAAGGTCAAAGGTCAAGAGGTGTAAAGGAAGAGGGAACATTCCCTTCTTAACTTAAGGTATAGGGAGGAAATTCAGAATTGCGGCACAAATCTAAACGGCTCGACCTAGGCTCGTGAGTCAGTGTATAGCATCAAGGTAGGAAAAGCCATCACTGTGCCGAAATTGAAGGTCACAGGTGAATGGGGCACAGGGCAGATTTTAGACATTTTCTGAGGACATGGTCTGACGGAGCGATTGAAAACTTTTTAGTTTCAGCGGTGACCTAGCATGTTTATGGCTTTATTGAAAGGACCATGAAATGTACTTTCTGCTGACATGCGAAGAGTAAGTGTCGGATAACCTTTTGACCCTCAAGAGGAGGGTTAAACATGGATTTGTTTACTGTTAGAAAGAATTTGACTACCGGGTTTGCTAGTAGAATCTATACATGCCTGGATATATGATGTAGGCTACAATTTCACAGTGAAATTTCAAAAGCTAAATTTGGTTGAAAAAGGTTTATGCTCCTTAAATCGTATAATTTCTATGGCATTCTGTACTGTCAGTGTGTTACATGTAACGTATGGCACTGCCAGTGGCCACTGCCAGTGCATGTGGTGGTGATAGTACTGTGTAGTTTTTGCCTGCGTTAATTAGTTACAGGTGGCAGCTCTCTATTTCAACCTGTAGGCTTGCGTAGGTAAATGGATGAGTGCTTACCTATTCTGTCTTGCAAATAGTTGTTGATACTACGTACGATGGTAGCTTCCATCTTTAATCTTAAGACACTTAAACGTACGCGCCATCTCGTGGCAACTTTCATAACGAACATTCCTTTGAGAAGGTTCCTGATACCATCCCTGTGACTTCCACTGTTTCGGCGTGTATGTGAACACATTTGGGACTAACAGGGTTTACTAGAATCCCACCACTCAACCACAGAGTCACCGCAGTAGACGCTAGATGAGCGCTGTCGCTCCGCGGCACTTGTTACTTTATATATGAATCTAAGGTATATATGATGACTCTCAAAAGCTAAAACTACTTCTCACAGATTGCCCTTGAAAAACCATGTCCTTGAAATGTCACTGAAAAAATAATTCACTTTTGCGGGAACCCTGTATTAGCATTTGAAAATCGATTCCTACTAGTTTAATTGTTTAATTCGTAAACAATAGTTTATATATATACCTATACACGGGAACCTAGGTGCGTATCTGCGGGAAATTGCGCCCCTGTCCAAACATCTGACACCATCTTTTAGATAACTTTACCATAATATGATAATATAAATGAACCTATATATATGACCCTGTATAGGAGCGTAGCCAACTCATTTTGCCTGAGGGAAAAAGCCACGTACACTGTGTGTTCTAGGAAGATGACTGCCATTGACCATGTATTGTATATACTTTTTTTCTGGGGGTGCCCATGCACTTGCCCCGCACACCCGCTAGCTACGGCGCTGATAATGTACAGTTAGACATCGACTATCCGAAAGAGATGGGCGGGGAGTATTTTGTTCAAATAACTGATTGTTCGGATAACTGTTACTGATCTGAGCCGATCTGATTAAATATTCACAGGACCTTGAGATCTTGTTCGGTTAATTGATGTTCGGATAACCAAGGTTTGACTGTATATATGTATGTGTGTGTGTATGATACGTGATCCACCACATATATCCACCAGCTTTCGTTTCAGTGTCTGTATTTGCGAAAATTCAAACGCCCAAATGCCGTCATTCTGGCTGAACAAAGTTTTAATATCAAAACCGGAGGTAGCAAAACAATCAAAACGCGCAGCCTCCGATAGTCGCAATTGGAGCCGAAACGGAAACACTGCCCGGCGAATTCGCAGTGTCAAGAACGTCAACCAGAGCTTTTTAAAGGGCTAGCACAGCACACGAGACTACACTTACACACAGAGGACACTACTCGAGGCGGATAAAAAAAAGAACGTCGCTAAGCTGCGATTTTACGACAAGCGCCGTTCATAGGGGGCGCCGCGATCGCGACCGTTCAATCGATGACAGACGATGCGCACAACGCCGTTGTTAAAACCGATCGGCGACCGGCAACACCGCAAATCCCCTCACGGCGCACGACAGAGAGAAAGATAGAAGATTTAACGTCCGACGCTCGACCACCCCCCCCTACTCCGACGACGACCCAGAGGGGGTCCGTCAGAAGGAGGGAGAGCACGCGCCGGAAGCCTGAAAACTACGCCCGGCAGATATACGAAAAACGCGGCCCGGGTTTGACATAACCGATACCTCGCCTCCATCCCCGTTCGCGGAATTCCCCCCACCCCCTGCTCCCAACGCCTAAGCCCTCTCTTCCTCCCGGATGACTCCCGTCCCGGAGAAGACTCTCCTCCAAGGGGTCCTCCGCGGACGGGCGGACTCGGCCCGGCGTCGCGGGGTGAGACGAGACGTCTACATGAGGGTCTCGCGATCGAAGGTGTACTCGCCGAGGCCGGGTCCGCAGCGCTTCAGCATGCTCACGTAGTCGGATATCTTCTTGATGGATTCAACTTGTTCGCCGAGGTATTCGTCCTCCAGGAAGTTGGTCATCTGGAAGGCACGGCGCGGCGGGTTAGTGACGAGCAAGAGAGAGGGGGGTGGAGGGAGGGTGGGAGAGAGAGGAGAGAGTGAGAGTGGGAGGGAGGGAGGGAGAGAGAGAAGAGGGAAGCGAGAGGGGGATGCGAGGGATGAGAGATGAGCCAAAGAGGGAGAGAGAGAGAGAGAGAGAGAGAAGAGAGAGAGAGAGAGAGAGAGAGAGGAGAGAAAAGAGAGAGAAGAGAGAGACGAGAGAGAGAGGAGAGAGAGAGAGGAGAGAGAGAGAGAGCGAGATGAGAGAGGAGAGGATGAGAGAGAGAAAGAGAGAGAGAGAGAGAGAGAGACGAGAGAGAGAAGAGACTGCTTTCCAGATGTTGAAAAGTACAGGAGGACTACTAATGACCCCCTAGAACACCATAGGGACTTTTCACGCTCCCATAATCACACCCTTAAGAGGCATGATGGAGAGGCTCCATTAAAAAAATCACACCCTTAAGAGGCATGATGGAGAGCTCCACTAAAATCACACCCTTAAAAGGTCTGCCATTGTTTTAAGATACGACGAAGGTGTATGAAAGCTGCATTCTCATTGCTACTGGAAACAAGAGTTGGGCTAGAATAGATACTGTCAGTCATGAATAGAGCTAGAATACAGTCAGGCTCGGCGATCCATTGCAACTCTATGGGCAGGGAAACTAGCCTCAAGGCACACGCGTGACGCGGCGGCTTTTGATGTACACGATCGATCGATCGCGTACTATATTAACACGGCCTGCATAGCACCGCGGCATACACAACCACACACACTTGCAGCGTCAAATAAACGCACACACTGGCTAACGTCTGACAATCTCAAACAGTGAACTAAGCCGTGTCTATATTGTAAAGCAACTATATTACAATGGTATTAAATGAAGGTACTGTTAGTAGGCTGTTGGACTGTAAAATGAAATTTGTAGCATTCCTAACCTCCTAAAATTTTCTTCTCAACGGATTTAGACGTTCACAAAATTGACCCTGAGACTGTAAATCCGCAGATTTCCGCGATGACCGCGAGATTCTCATCCCAGGAAAATGTGAGGCAACTATTTCAACATAATAAACAGACTTTTGGTGCGCGAATTTCAACCACTTTTATGAGGCGCGATGAATGCGCCGCACCAATGGCGCATTTATGGTGCGGCGGTGGAGCGCGCGGCGGCGATCGCGCGCGCTTAAAAATGAAAGCCTGGGAGAGGAGAGAGAGAGAGAGAGAGAGAGAAGAGAGAGAGACAAGAGACAGAGATGAGGGAGAGTGACAGAGAGAGCAAGAGCAAGAGGAAAGAAGAGAGAAGGGGGAGATGATGTGGTGGTAGTTATATTAGAGAAAGAGAGATAGCGATTGAGAGGGGAAATGGTCGGGAATACAAACACTACCAGAGATTCTCCATAGGTCAAGACAATACGGTGTATTCATTGGAAGCCTGTACTGTACGATGCCGAACATTTGACAGCACATGTTTAATGTCGAGCGGAGAGAGAGTGAGGCGAGTACGAGCCACATCGATTTAGATGTTAATGTGAAGAGAAGGAACGCGAGAGTGTACGGGAGGTGGGGAGACCCATACTAACTATGCAGCCAAAGGCGCGCGACGGCATCACATCACGGCAGAGGGGAGGAGAATGGAGGAGGGACAGGAGAAGGAGTAGGAGGAGGAGAAGGGGGGGGAGCAACAAGAGGTGCAGGAAGAAGAGGGGGTACTACGTACTACGTCGTTCTGTGGGCAATCTTTTGTGTGCACGGACGTGGAAAGAAGGAGGAAAAGGGTAGCGCAGGAGACGGGTGAGGGAATGGATGGAAGGATGGGCAAGGAGGAAAGGGAAAGGAAGGATGCAGAGAAGGGGGAGGAAGGGCTGGCAGGAGGAAGGGTGAGGGAATGGATGGAAAGGGACTGGCAGGAAGAAAGAAAAGGAAGGAGAGGAAGGAGGGAGATGGCAAGGAGGAAGGGGTGAAAGGAAAGGGATGGCAAGGATGGAGGAGGGAAGGACAGGATTGGAAGGAGGTGGCAGGAGAAGGAAAAGGAAAGATGGCAGGGGAGGGAAAAGGGGAGAGGGAAGGGCGGAAAAAAATAAGGGAAAAAAAAGATCGCAAAAGAAAGGAAGAAGGTGATAGGGATGGCAGATGCAAGGGGGGAGGGATAGAGGATGGCAGTAGGAAGGGGGGAGGGAAAATGTGGGAGAAAGGGGTGGCAGGAGCAGGGGGAGCGGCATGGCAGAGGGGAAGGGGAAAGGGGAGGGAAGGGATGGCAGAGTAAGAGGGACCGGGAAGGGATGCAAGGAAGGAGGGAGGGAAGGAATGGTCAGGGGAAGAAGGGGAAGGAAGGGATGGACAGGCCCAATAGGAGGAACAAGGGGATCAGCAAGAGGAAGGGGGGGGGGGTTCCTCCTCCACTACTTACGTGCGGGTCCTGCTGTGCAGTGCCGACGCTGTGCAGATCCAGCAGAGCTTGGTTGACATTCTTCTCCAGCTGCAGCGCACCCTGCATCGCCTCCAGGCCGCTGCCCCACTCGTCCTTGTCAGGCTTCTGCAAACAACAAACGACCTCAGGTTGGGATGGATGTACACAAGCATGCACGCACACACACGCACGCACATGCGTGAAGGGCACACTGCATCCACGCACATACATGCACTTATGCCCCGCGCAGACGCACGCACTCACGCACGCACTCATGCACGCACTCATGCACACAAGCACACACACCCGCCCACCTGCGGGCACACACAGGCACGTACGCATATTACATACACTCATAACTTAGTGCATGCATCATCACCACCATACACTGATACACTACAAGCGCAACCACGACCCTTACCCTAACCCTAACCTGAATCAGGGTGGACCTAAAGCAAGTCTTCGAACTAACGACCTCAATACTCATGTCAAAACGTGATTTCAGTACTTATGCAAATTCTCCATCTCCATTTACCCCATCGCAAAACTTGAAATCGTGAAACAGGCATGGGTTTCAAATGGTTCATACAGGAGGACTGAAATTTTTCCCAAGGACTTTTCAAGGACTTTTCAAGG